CCCTGCATTGCATCTCTCTCTCTGTCTGTCTGTCTGTCTGTCTGTCTGTGTGTATGTGTGTCTGTGTCTGTGTCTGTGTCTGTCCATGTGTGTCCAGAAAAGATCGAGGTCATCGAGGAGGCTGTCGCTGACGCCGTCGAGGTACATGGGCAATGGGCATGTGCCCATGCCGTGAGCACATCCAGGTCTTGAGAGATATAAGTGCTGTCATGCGTACGGCATGCATTGTGATTGAATGGTTGGACAATCATTAAGAGGTACATGAGCATGGTCAGGGAAGGCTAAGTCTTGTGATGTGGGCAAGGCGGTTATAGATACAGGTGAATGGAGATGCCAACTGACGTGAAAATAGGCCTGTGTTCAAATTGCCATCGTCTGGTCGGCAGGAAGATGTGTGCATATCATGTGGCATTGCGTGCATCCTCTTCCTGCTGTGTTTCCATAATGTGCCTGCAGGTGGTCTTGGGTTCACGACTCTCGCAGTAGGGGAATTGTGAGCACACCAATCGTATACGCACCCCCCTTCTCGTCTGATAGTTGCTCTCTTGTTGTCTCGCAGTTTGTCACTTTCCTACTGCAAATGCATTGCTGCTTACATTATATATTTGTGGACATTGGTCAAGCTTTCGAAACGTGCTCCTTTCACGTACGCCAATGAGAGAGACATGTGTGTGCATTGGATGCGGGCCACTTTACCCTTTTTGTTCACTCAGAGGGTTGCTCATGGAGGTGTTGGACCTGAAGAGGCCACCGCCAGGGAGTGTTGCTGCTGGGGCTCGAGAAAGAGATGGAACACACATCTGGCACGCACGTGTCCATATGTCATGCATGACATTTCCCTCCCCGCCTTTGTGGATTCGTGTGTGTCTTCAGTGTGTTTGTTGGTCGCGCCAAGCAGGACCAGACCCGAGGCGGCCACGAGCCCGACGAGTGGTACGTCGCTCACGAAGACCTCAGCTGTCCGTTCCTTCTTGCATGCATGGCGATGGTGTGCTCCTTCCTGCGTTTGTGTGTGCGCTTCAGGTTCACCAACTTCCCCAAGGCCGACCTCCGTTGCCACCTGGAGGGCTGCATTCGGCCAGAGACCGCCGTGCGGGAGTTCAAGAGGCTCGGACTGCCTCTGCCCGAAGGCGAGGCGGCACAGCGGGCCCACTTCATCGGGTCAAGGGACAACGGCTGGAACGACATCATGAGCCGCCTGAGACAGATATTCGGTACGCCAGTCAGTCGCTGATCAGCCAAGCAAGCAGCCAAGCCAGTTAGTTGGTCCCTGCATTGCATCTCTCTGTCTGTCTGTCTGTGTGTGTGTGTGTGTGTGTGCAGAGAAGGTGGAGGTCATCGAAGAGGTCGTTGCTGACGCCATCGAGGACCGTTACCGGCAGGGGGTGGTGCTGCTGGAGCTGAAATTCTGGCCCACCTTCTACAAACTACGGCCACTCGTATGAGAACGTCCTCGCCGCCATCCAGAGGGGATGCGGGAGGGACGGCGGCGGTGTCAAGACAATATAGACGTACGCTGAGAGGGCTCACAAACAGACAGACGGACAGACAGGCAGGCAGGCACCGACAGGGTGCACAAATGACACAATGTATATCATACAGTATATGGCTGTGCTCCCCGAGGCGTCGCAGAGGGCCCACCCCTAAAGAAGTGTCGCACATCTGGTATGCATGGCGGTGCGTTGTCCATTTATGTGCATCATCCATTTATCTCACTGGGGGCTGGTTGGTTGTCTTGTGTTTGTCTTGTGTCAGACTCTTGCATCCCGGGGACATCCGCTGGCCGCCAGGTTGTCTGCTGGCTTCATCCACCCGTCCAGCGACAGATGGACTGGCTGCAGCTGCCTCCCCTTCAGCAACCGCTCATCCCCGAAGAGCAGCAGCAGCCGCCCATCGACCCCCTGGAGCAACAGGAGCAGCCACCGGCCGACGAAGACGACCCACCAGGCCGCAACCAGGACCACCAGCCACAGGTGGAGCAGCAGCAGGCCGCCACAGCGTCCAGCAGCCAGAAGAAGCGCAAGAGGGTGGGCTCTCGGCTGCGGGTTGAGGCCGCTGCCCTCGAGGCTTCTGCGGCGTCCTTCTGCGGCGGAGTGGCAAGGCAGGGAAACGGGGGAGACGGGGGTGACGAGGGCTACAACCTCCGCAGCAAGAGGCGCCGCGACCGATAGCTGAGGAGTCACGGCCGATGGGGGGGAGTAATGTGCGTATATCTGTCTCTACGTGCCGTTTGTTTGTGTGTGCATGGACGGATGGATGGTGGATAGATGGATGGATGAATAGATGGATGGATGAATGTAACGGCCACCCGAGGGGCGCCAAGTCGGGCCTGTAGGAGGCCTCTTCTGCTTTGGTTGCAGTCGGTATGACGTCGCTTATGATGTTGATAACACCGCTGCGTACATTTTATATCTGCGGACGGACTTTGCTCTGTTCATCGTAAGCTTCCTGTGGACGATCCCTCGTTTCTGTCTGCTGAAGCTTTGAATGAACACTCACGGAAGACTGTCAATGTGCGTTTGGACGTGACTGCGATGGCACTCACGGGAGCGACCGATGTGTGAGACGACAATGCCTTGGCAGAGACATGCGAATGTCTTGGACTTGTCTTTGGGGGCATCATGTATCCATCAACGCAACATATCATTGGGGTCTCTCCGCATAGCTATGGATCGCATCGATAATATGCATCGTCTGTCTGTGTCTCTGTGTGTGTCGCGTCTCTATCATTTCTGCCGCGACACACACACCCCTCCACAAACCAAGTCATCCATCCATCCATCAGCACACATGGCAGAACAACGCAGAAAGTGAGTGAGTAAGTGAGCAAGAGGACATATTTATCATGCAAGGGCCATCTCACAGACGCACATGCCCCCTTGCCCCTTCGGCCATGACATCACCCATGATGTCCTCGCGGCCTCATCGGGGCGAAAAGGGCCGCCCAGGGGGCTTCTCCCCGCCCCAGCTGGACACGCACACAGAGAGACAAAAACAGCACTCACTCCCAGCTGACACACCACACACACATTCGCACACATGGAGGAGACACATGAGTGAGTATGCAGGTCAATCAACACACAAAATGCAACACTACACAGCACATCAGTTAGTGAGTTTGTATGTCTGGAAGAGATGGAGCCATACACACGAAATCTCTCTCCCTCTCCCCCCCTTTCTGCCTGCCTGCCTGCCTGCCTGCCTGTCTAAGGGCGGCCGAAAGGAGGCAGCACACGTACTGCCTGCGATCACCGCCAAAACCTCCAGAGATCTACATCCCCCCATCCCAATACATTCCAACACGTACACACGATGGATCTGTCGGTCAATCGATCACTCGTGTCCCTCCTCCCGTCTCCTGCGCTTCCGGAGCCGTGAAGATCGGCGCAGGCGCTTCAGTGGCTGCTCGTCGGTCGGAATTCGTCGACGTTTCTTGGCAGCGAGCTCGTCAGCGTCGTTTCCGGCCTGCTCATCACCACCGGGGTGACCGACGGGCGGCATGTCCATGTCGGGAATCTCGCCCTGAGGCTGATCCCCCATCTCGTCACCCCCCCTCGTCACGGTCGTCATTGCGGCCCCTCTTGGCCCCTCTCCGACTCGACTCGATGCCCGCGGGGTCGAGGCGCTGCTGGTCGCCGCCATCATCCTGGTGCATGGCCTGGTCAGGCGCCTCACCGGCTTGGGGCTGATCCTCCATCTCGTCACCCCCCTCGTCACGGTCGTGCAGTGGAAGGGCCCGCTCGACGGCCTTGGAAGTGCGGATGATGTCAATGGCCAAGCAGCACAACACTTGCTGGGCGGCCCGCAGCAGCTCTGCCGCCACACACCCATAGATTGCCGCCACACACGCCATGACGGTCGCCCCGCCCTCCTCGCTCTCATCGCCCCCGTCGCTCTCATCGCCCTCGTCC